CGCGCAAAACGCAGAAGGATAACAAGAAGGAACGCGAACCAGGGCAAGGCAAGAACAACACGGAGGGGGCGAGGGGGGCGGCAAGAGCAGATGATGTCGAACGGGAAAAGACATTTGCTCGTGGAGTACGTGTCCCGACGGATCCACTCACAGGGGGCGCCGAAGTGATCACGGCACCTTTGGCCTCCAATCTGTAACCTCGATGCCAGCAGCACAGGCGTACGCAGGATGCTCTGTGGGCACAGTGCTCATGAAGTCCGCCCCGCGCGTGACGCAGGAAACAGGCGACGCAACTCAACTCCCTTGCGCCTGAGACCGGGCGGCCGCGCACGTCAAGAAACTCAAAGAGCCCCCGCGGTCGCCCCAAGGGGCCCCGCAAAGGCCTGTCAGGACCAGGACAAAAATAGGCCTGGCGAAATAACCAACCACATGCTGCTGCGGGTACCATATGGGGCCACGATTGCGCGGGGAGCGCGCCAAGATGAGGCGGCGCCGCCATGTCGACCACGCCAATGGGGTTTCCAGTGGTACTCCACGCGGGGCCACGAACCGAGTGAAGGGTGCGCCCCAATGGGGCGCAGCCGCCATGTAGACCCTGCCACTAGGGCCTTCGAGTGAGCTCCATGCGGGGCCACGAGCCGTGCGAGGGGTGCGCCCGCATGGGCGGTACCGCCATGGGGCCATGCCACTGGGGCCTTCGGTGGACCTCCATTTGAGACCACGAAACGTGTGAGGGGTACGCCCAAATGAGGCGGCGCAGCCACGTGGACCTTGATCCAGCATGGATCCTGGCACGTCGGCGGGCCTGGCGAAAGCATAAATGTATCCAAGAATTTAGGGTCTTGTCCGAGCCCATCGATATCCTCCTGCGTGAATGCATAATCTTCATCGCCACCCAGACTTATTCATGGTGAGACTCACGCACGCCCCGTTCGTGGCCGTTTTGCGGGGGTGCCTCAAGCGGTTTGCCTGTCTTCTGTCCCAACATCCTTGGCTACCAGAGCAGACTGTGAGGATGTCTCAGGCGGGACGCTGGTTTCAGCCCCCCCTGACGGAAACCACCACGTGTTATTTCACTGTCCCATTCGCGGCCGTTTTGTGGAGATGTCTCAAGCGGTTTGCCTGTTTCCTGTCCCAACATCCTTCGCTGTCGGAGCAGATTTGGAGGATGTCTCAAGCGAGGCGCTCATTCTCACCCCCCATAGGGGGAACCGCCAGGGCTTATCTCACGGTCCCGTTCGGGGCCGTTTTGTTGGGATGCCTCAAGCGGTGTCCCTGTCATCTGTTCCAACATCCTTCGCTTTCGGAACAGATTTGGAGGATGTCTCGAGCGTGGAATGGGAGGCGCGCGCGAATGAGGGGGGGAAGGGGCAATGCGGCGAGGAGGAGGAGGATGAGGCGGAAGGCGTGGATGACACGGGGAAAGGGAGGGGAGGGATAACGAGGGCGGTTGAGGGGGGCGAGGGAGGTGGGAAAACACCAGGATGACGAAGGCGAAGTAGGATGAGAAGGAGGAGGAGGAGGATAACAGGAGAAAAGGGGGGTAACGTGAGGAGGCAGGGGATTAGTATGATGGCGAAGTGGGGCGACGGGGGGTAGAAGATAACAAAGAGGAGGGGTCATGCCGCATTCAATTTCCTCTGGCCCTTTCCGGCCGTTTTGCTGCGATTTGGGCGGTTCTTCGGGTGGTGCCGAGCGCTCTAATACCCAGAAGGGCGAGAGCGTGACGTTCCTTTTCGTTTTCTTGTGTCTGATCAGTTTGATGGCGCCCGGAAAGCATCCTCGCTGACAGCGCGCGGTATTTTTTGGGAGCTCTTGGATTGTCCTCGGGTTGGTGTGAATCATTTTGGGCCGCATGGGCCGTCGCATCGTGATTCTCTCTATGAAAAATGATCACCTTCAGCGGTGTCGGCCGTCGTTGGGGGCAGTGTGCGCCGCCATGGCAGTTCGCATCAATGCAGAGGACGTTTGAATGACATAGGGCCGATGGGGGGGGGGACGGCATATTTGGGAGCAGTTGCGACGATTGGTATGGCCGAGCCGCCCTCATTCTAAATATGCGACGTGCTCGTTATTTTTTGTTTTTTTTTCCAGGGCGTGCTGTCAGCAGGGGGAACGCCGCGCGCCTGGATTCCCCGATGGGAGCTCGCGGATTGGATTTTACAGTGCGACTGGGGCCACAGTCCGTTATCACCGCGTGATGTTCGCCCCGCGCGGATGGCGTTGCATGTCAGACGGGTAATCCCCATCGAGGGTTTGGTGCAGTTGGCATTTTCGCCATATCCTAAGATGGTTTTTTGTTATTACTTGGACGCCTCCTACTCCTTCTCACTCTTCTCCTGCCCTCTCCTCCTCATGCCCCGACTTACTCATATACAGACTGACTCACACTCAGACTAACTCATACACATATTCACACACAAATACCTATTCATACTCATACCTACTCATACTCAGACCTGCTCCGACTCAGACTTACTCATGCTGAGACTCACGCGCGCCCCGTTCGCGGTCGTTTCGTGGGGATGCCTCAAGCGGTTTGCTTGTTTTCTGTCCCAGCATATTTCGCTATCGGAGCTGATTTAGAGGATGTCTCGAGCGAGGCGCTAATTTTCACCCCCCTTACGGGAGCAGCCAATGGTTATCTCACGGTCCCCTTCGCGGCCGTTTTGTGGGGATGTCTCCAGCGGCTTGCCTGTTTTCTGTTCCAACATCCTTCGCTTTCGGAGCAGATTCGGAGGATGTCTAGAGCGAGGCGCTCATTCTCACGTCCCTAAGGAGCCGCCGAGGGGTTATCTCACGGTCCCGTTCGCGGCCGTTTTGTGGGGATGTCTCAAGCGGGTTTGCCTGTTAGTTGTCCCAACATCATTCGCTTCCGGAGCAGATTTGGAGGATGTCTCGAGCGAGGCGCTCATTGTCACCCCCCTAAGGGGATTCAAATATTCACTGCGTGGGGCTCCCCATATGCGCATTTATTCCCATGGACCTGTCCGCCGTGAGAATCTAGGCGCAAAAACTTTCGAGTATAAACGGGTTTCAATTGTGACGGTCTGGTCATGAATCTAACTGAGAATCAATTGGAGTGTGAATGAGCCTCAGTAGTACGAGCGCGTCTCTGCGCATGACCCTGGGTCCTCCTGGGGCCTCCTGGGGCCTCCTGGGGACCTACTGGGGCTTCTTGGGGCCTCCAGGAGCCTCTTTGGGCCCCCTGGGGCCTCCTGGGACCTCCTAGGGAGGATTCGTGCCCGAGGAGAGGCCCAATCTATAGCAACAGTCGCACATAAAACATTGCGACTTGGAGCCGCAGAAAAAAGGGGCAATCTATAGGAACACGCGTACAACACCAAGGAGTCGTGCCCTAGGAGAGGCCCTATAGGAACATAAGTACACAGGATATGGACCATCTATAAAAACATACGTATAACATCAAGGATTCGTGCCCCAGGTGAGGCCCAATATATGAGAGCATACGTAAAACACATGGGATTGGACCCACCCCTGTTGCCTTCTGAGGCCTCCTGCTCCTGGGGCCTCTCGGGGCCTCCTGTTGCCCTCGGGAGACCTCCTGGCGCTTCCTCTGGCCTCCTGGGGCCTCCTGTGGCTTCCTGAAGCCTCCAGGAGCTTCCTGGGGCCTCCTAGAGCCTCTTGGGGCATCCTGTGGCCTCTTGGGTCTTTCTGTGGCATCCTGATTCATCCTGGGACCTCATGTGGTCTCCTGGGGCCTCTTGGAACCTGTTGGAGCCTCCTGTGGCATCCCCAGGAAAACCAGCGCCCACGAGTCTGGCCACCGATCGAGACATCCTCAAAATCTGGCCCACCTGGGGGGGTGAAATGGAGCGCCTCGCTCGAGACATCCTCCAAATCTACTCCGAGAGCGAAGGATGCTGGGACAGAAAGCAAGCACGACGCTTGAGACATCCCCACAAAACGGTTGCGAACGGGACCGTGAGAGAACCATTGGCGGCTCCCCTTAGGGTGGTGAAAATGAGCGACCCCACCAGTCCTCCTGCCAAGGGAACCTGGCTGTGGTTTTCGGCGACGCACCAGCGCCCTTGGCTAACAGCGTTGCAACGCACGCGCTGCATTACGCGGAAGTAGTAAGATGATATGTTTCTGACATGATGCGTGGGCGCGCACGGCGCGGGCCTACATGGCGCGTCAAAGGCGCCTGACACACGCCCGCGATACTCTTCACGACCGAAATCGGAAAATTAGCTCCGGCGGCGCACATGCGGTGGGACACGCGTGCGTTCGGCATCACCCGCGCGAGGTGGCTAACAATTTCGCGGCGTTGCGCTAAAAATGCCATTGTGCCCAACATCGTTTCGAAGCGCGCTGCGGTGCGCCGCGCAAGCGCGCGTGGACTGCGGCCTGCATGCGGCCCGCGCACTAGTACGAGCGATTGAATCTGAAAGGGCAAGGCGCGGCACGTGCGCCATGAAAACGCGGCACACGGCAGAAGCAGTTACGAGAAGGAAACTCGCGCGATTCGCGTGCCTCCGTCGACCGAAATCGCTAAATCAGGGCAAGCGATCGGCGACGACCGCGTTTGACGCCACCAATAAATACATGAAAAAATGCAAAAACAAATTTGTCGAGGCCCTCGTTTTGTTTCCTGGTGGGCGCAACACCTGAGACACCCCTCAGTTAAAATTGAGCTATGCGATATTGAGGCACTTCCTCCCTCGCTCCTCACCCTCCTCTCACTCCCGCGCCCCCGAAGGCCCATCGCAAAATTAACGTTACCCACTCTGAAAACATCTACAGCATGCATAGCAGACTGCAGGCAAGACCAGGCAGTGGGCCAACAGAAGTACACTTCCCCTCGGGCAAATGTAGGCCAATGGAATAGCGAGAGCGCAGCTCACTTTCACACAAAAAACACGAAACGAAAATGCATGCCGCGAAAACGGCGCGCGTGACCGCAGCGAGGGTATATCTTCGTGCTGGTGACTGACCCCCCAGCCCGCCTGCGTCTCCTGGCCCGACGCGCGCCGCGATCAGGCGCACGAGAACTGCGACAGCACCACGGCGGCCACCGCCACCGACGCGCGGAGGTATGCGATGCGGGCACGGGAGCCCTTGGACGCAACGTCCTCGCCGCTGGGCGCCGTGGTGGTGGGGCAGTCCACCGACACCGTGTCGTCGTCTCCCGAGTCGGTGTACACCACGTCGGTCATGCTCAGCGGGCACTTCCCGCACTCGGACTCCTTCTGGAGGTAGTACGGGTTGAACGAGCCCACCCCCGACTCCTGCGCAGGCGTCGTGATGCCAGTGCGGACGTGGATCGCGGCGATCGCGAGATCGTACGCCGCCGGCCCGTTGCGCGGGCTGAGCGTGGTCGCGCTGAACGGGATCGACACGAAGCGGGCGGCTTTCAGCACGTCCAGCTGGCAGAACTCCGCGTCGTTGTAGAGCCACTGGATCTTCTCGGCCGCCGAGTCCCAGGCAGCGTCGACAACCACGATGACGTCTGGAGCCGCGGCGATGATGGAGCTGACCTTGGGGAGAGCGCGCCAGCAGGGCCCGAGCACAGGGGGTCTGCCCCCCCCCCCGTGGCCGCCCAGGATCCGAAGTCGCCTCCCCCCCCCCTCCCTAGCGTAACCCGCCCCATTCCTTGGCTCCCCTCCTGAGCTCTTTTCCCGCTGCCATCTCGGCAAACTATCTCCCCTCCCCTTCCTCCTTGGACCTTCCCAGGCAGAAGCCCTTCCCCCTCCTCCACTTTTTCGCCTCACGGAAGCTACCCCTCCCCCCTCCCTTGGGCCTCCCCAGTTTGAAGCACACACACACACACACACACACACACCCCTCCCCCCCTTTACCCTGAGGCCCGTGCAAGCTACCACCCCCTCTCTTCGACCCCCCCAGCCGGGACCCCCCTCCAATCCCTCCCCTTTCTTTCTCGCCAGCCCCGGAGCAGTACCATACCCCGCCAACCTTGAACCTCCCCGGCCCGAAACAATACCATCGTACTTCTTCTCGCCACATGGCATTTCCTTGGAGGGCGAAAACAATACTGTCCGAGTCTTCCAATCACGTGGCAACGCCAGGGGGCGGAACATGTACGATATTACTCGACTCGTCACACGGCAACGCCTGGAGAGCAAACACCAAACCATCCCATGATCCATGATCCTCCATACGTTGCAACACTAGGCAACGCAAGGGCAGGGAAACACATAGTCGCTGTCGTTCCATCGCATAGCTGCGCAAGAATCGTCAACGTGCTGTCTCCGTTTATTTTCTTGCATGTCTGAAAATTTCAACCTGGTCCTGGTCCATGATTTGATGTTGTTGTCGTCATTGTTGTTTGAACCCAGCGGCGCGCCACACAACTCCAGAATTTTTAGGGGTCCTTGCTGAAGGAATCCGAATGACCCCTAGACATCGTCAGGAAATGGCTGGATCCTCTTCTGCTCGACTCGTCCCTTGGGAACGCATGGGGGCGGAATCAAATTGTGCCTGGTCTGCGCGTCACGTGGCAACGATCCGAGGGCCGAACACATGGCATTCAACTCTACTCGTTGCATGGCAACGCAAGGCGGCAGAACAAATATACCAGTACTTGCCGCAGGTGGGCCCGCAGGGAAAAGACACCAATTGGTGGTTCGCTCGATCCGGCTCGCGACGGTGCCCGGGGGCGAACAGCAGCTGCCACTCTGCTCTGCTCGTCAAACAGTGGCAGCGCGGGGAGCGGAACCACATTTCTCCACCCGTCGAGTGGCAGCGCAGTGGGGGCGAAACTAGAAGGCCCGCGCGTGCCCCACGAGAGCGACAGAAGGGAGACGGTCCAGCGACGACGCCGACGACGAGAACGACGAAAACCAACACCACCTCCGCCACCACCAACCACCGCCCGCACGCCTGCCCGCGCCTCTGCCCGCCCGCCCGCCCGCGCGGCCAGTCGTCCGCCCGCCCGCCAGAACGCCCGCCCGCCTGCGCGGCCGCCCGCCCGCCCGCCGGAGCGCCCGCCCCGCACGACCGCCCGCGCGACCGCCCGCCCGCCCGCCGCGCGCCCGCCCGCACAGCCAGCCGCCCGACCGCCCGTCAGCGCGCCCGCGAACGAAAACATGTTTCACGCATTTGTATACACACAGAAAATATGCATGTATACAAAAATTTCAGTGTACGCGAGCAACCCTTCGAAAACCTTTGGTCCTCGACTGTGTTCGTGCCATGGCCCGCGGAAATCAAAACAAATACTGTCCTACTTTGCCTGTCACGCGGCAGCGCCGGGTGGGCTGAAAACAACCGTTAAACCATACCCGCCGCGCGGCAACGCAGGAGGCGGAAACATACTATGGTCCTCAACTCGTCAAGTGAATACGCAAGAAGGCGGAAACACATGGCACACACCTCTATCCGTCACGCGGCAATGCGGAAAGAACAAAACACCGAACAATATGTTCAATATGTTACATTCGCCACTTGCGCGCCCCCCCGCCCGCTCGTCGACGACGACGACGGCGACTACGACGACGACGGCGCCGGCTCGCTACCCCCCCGCGGCATGTCGACCTCCGCATTTCCATGTTTGAACCCCGAAATCCTGAATGAGTCCTCGCAGACCAACGGAATATTCATGACATGGGTCGAAAACCCTTGATCGTCGACAACAATAGTCGCGCGGCGCCGTAAAAAGCAACACGATCACTATCCTACAATACCCGTCAGGCGGCGGTGCCTGGGGGAAGCAGTGCTACTCCGTGAACGAACGCGCGACGTGCAGCGCGCGGGGGCGGGCAGCAGCGTTGTCCGATTGCACCCGCAGCGCAGCAGCGCGGAACAACGGGAACAGGCAGTTTTCGAGTCTAGCCACCACATGCAAAGGCGGGGGGGAGGGGGTTGGGGAAACAACAGCTGTTCTGCTATACTCGCCACATGCGCGCTCGCACGTCTGCCCGCTCGCCGACGACAACCATGACGACGACGACCACCACGACGACGACGACCACGACGACGAAGACGACGACGACGACCACGACCACGGCGACGACGACGAGGACGAGATACCCCCCACCCTGTGGACCCCCCCAGCCCGAAGCCCACACCCCTGGCCCGCACTCCGCCCCTCCATCTTTCTGACCAGGACGGAAATCAAATCATCAAGAATCCCCGGGCCATTCTCAGGGAGCCGTAGGGATCTTGTTGAAGTCCCTCGGAGGTCCTCGATCGTGGACTGTACCCGTCGCGAGGGACCGCAGAGGGCGGAAATAAACAAAGGGCAGCGCTGGAAGGGCGAACAACTAGAATGGTTGTTGACTGGCCACGTCGCAACCCAAGGGAGGGGCAGAACACATAAGATTGTACGCTACTCGCCAAGACTCCCAGAGTAGCAACGCAGAAAGCGGAAACACCATCTAGAATTTGTGATTCTGCTCTACGGTGGAGACAACGCGCGACGACAACGACGACGACGACGAGAGCGATGGCGACGACGAACACGATGATGACAACGGGGACGACGAGAAGCACGACGACGACGAATTGCTAGAATGATCGCGACGACGACAAAAACGACAACGACGACGACGAAAACGCTAAATAAGACGACGACAAAGACGAAGACGACGACGACGACGAGACTCGGCGCAGATCCACATGGGAGGGTGTTAGTTCCTGAAGCCCCTCCTCCTTGCAAAGGGGGGCCCAGGCTTACTCCCAGCCCCAGAAAAAAGAAAGGGGGGCAACTTCGGAAGTCTGGGCCCCCCTTCCCCAGACCGGCAACCTTCTGCTCTCTCAAAATTACAAGCGGGGGGTAGCTTCTGAAACCACCACCGCCCGCGAAACCGGAAGCCTGGGCTCACCCTGGATGTCTAAAAGGGGGAAGAGAGGAAAGGGAAGGGGGGGGTAATCTCCGAAGCCCCCCCTCCTCTGCAAACGAAGCCCCGGCTTACCCTTTGCTCGGAAAAGGAAAGGAGTCGGGGCAGCTTCAGAAGTCCCCCTCCCCCTTCCAAAGGGGAGCCCACACTTCCCGAAGGAAGGGTGAGGGGCCTATTTACCTTCGGACCCCCCCCCTCTGGAAGGAAGGGAGGGGGAGGGGGTAGCTTAGGGCCAGGGCCCCCCCCCTCGGGACACCAAAAAGGATGTCCCCAGACCTCTCCCGGAGTGCGTTCTGACCAAGATTCCGAAGCGAATCCAGCGTTGGCGACGAGGGCATCCCAGGAGGCCCAAAAAGGCGAAACCGAGGAAATAGCAATATCGGTGCCTTTTCCTCCTCTGGCCCCTTGTTTGATCTTCCGGGCCCCCGTGGGCGCGCTCTGACCTTGACGCAGGCCCAGCTGCCGGGCTCGTCCGAGAACACGTTCGTCAGGCCCGCTTCCTCCATCAGCATGTTGGGGGCCCCCGCGCCCGCCCCCACGTAGACCTCCTCGAGATCGAGCTTACATTTTTCGGCGATGACCCCGGTTATCCGATTGGGGGTTGGAAACGTTGTACATGCCGCGGCCGACGAACAGCAGCACGACATAGAAGTAAATTAGCACCTTCCGGGGGTGACACCCTCCTCCGCCGCCGCCTCCTCCTCCACCTCCGCAGATTTCTCTGCGCCAGGGGGCAGAGGGGGAGGTGCCGGACGACAACCTCGCCTTTTCGCTTTGACCAACCCCACGTCTGCCTGTGAGACGAAGGGGGGGGTACGCAAACTCCGAGTAGCGCACACGGCATGCCTTCGGCCACGAAACGTGCGAAGGGTAAGCCGACATGAATCGGGAGGACGCATACGAACGTCGCCATTGGGGCCTTCCGTGGAACCCCCTATGGGGCAACGAAACGTGTGATGGAATGTGCCGAAATTGGGCGGCGGCGCCATGCGAACTTTCCCACTGGAGCCTTCCGTGGAACTCATTATGGGGCAACGAAACGTGTGAGGGGTGTGCCGAAATGGGGCAGCAGTACCATGTGAACTTTCCCACTGGGGCCTTAGGTGGAGACCCCTGTTGGGCGACGCAATGTGCCGGAATGGGGCGGCGGTGCTATGCGAACCTTCCCACTGGGGCCTTATGTGGAGCTCCGTATGGGGCCACGAAACGTGTGAGGTTGTGCCGAAATGGGGCGGTGGTGCCACGCGAACTTTCCCACTGGGGCCTGATGTGGAGCTCCATATGGGGCCACGAAACGTATGAGATAGGACCCCCCTACGGGCCACGAAACGTGTGAGGGGTGTGCCGAAATGAGGCGGCGGTGGCATGCAAACTTTCCCACTGGGGGCTGAGGTGGAGGTCCTTATGGGGCCACCAAACGTGTGAGGCATCTGCCGAAATGGGGCGGCGGTGCCATGCAAAGTTTCCCACTGGGGCCACAGGAGGAGCCCCGTGTGGCCACGAAATGTGAGAGGGGTGTGCCGAAATGGGGCGGCGGTGCCATGCGAACTTTCCCACTGTGGCCTTCCGTGGAGCTCCTTATGGGGGCACGAAACGTGTGAGGGGTGTGCCGAAATGGGGCGGCGGTGCCATGCGAACTTTCCCACCAGGGGTATTCGGTGGAGCTCCGTATGGAGCCACAAAACGTTTGAGGGGTGTGCCGAAATGGGGCGGGGGTGGCATGCGAACTTTCCCACTGGGGCCTTAGGTGGAACCCCCTGTTGAGCGACGCAATGTGCCGAAATGGAACGGCGGTGCCATGCGAACTTTCCTCCCACGTTGGCCTGAGGTGGAGCTCCGTATGGGGCCACGAAACGTGTGAGGTTGTGCCGAAATGGGGCGGCAGTGTCATGCGAACTTTCCCATTGGGGCCTTAGTGAGAACTCCCTATGGGGCCACGAAGCGCGTGCCGAAATGGGGCGATGGTGCTATGCGAACTTTCCCCACTGGGGCCTTATGTGGAGCCCCATGTGGGGCCACGAAGCGTGTGAGGTTGTGCCGACGTGGGGCGGCGGTGCCATGCGAACTTTCCCTCTGGGATCTTTGGCGGAGCCCCCTACGGGGCCACGGAACGCGTGAGGGTGCCGAAATGGGGCGGCGGTGCCATGCAAACCTTCCTACTGGGGCCATAGGTGGAGCTTCCTACGGGGCCACGAAACGTGCGAGGGGTGTGAATGGAGGCGGCGGGGGAGGGCAAGGATAGACGAGGAGAGGAGAGGAGAGGAGAGGCGAGGAGAGAGGAGACGCGGGGCGCTGGCTCTTCAAAACGAGGTCTTCAAACACTGGATCCTCCTCTTCGCCGTCCGCCACGGCGCAGCAGCGCCCGACGCAGTCGAGCCAGACGGTCTTCAGCGGGGCGCTGGCCATGCTGGCCGAGACGAGGGCCGCCGCTCTGTCGAAGTCCTCCTTCATCTCGTCGATGATCGGCTGCACGTCCACTCCAAAAATCTCCCCGAGGGTCTCCAGCTCCTCGTAGACGGTCTCCTCCGAGACGGTGTCTGGGCGCAGCGAGCTGTTCTCGCAAGCGTCCTCGAACATGTACGTCCCGTGGCCCATCGCGTTCAGCTGCGGACGGCAAGTGGTCCAATCCGCGCCGTACTCGGAACCGTCCCCCGTGCACGACATGTTGAACACGCCCCGGGTCGAGCCAGAGGAGGTTGTGTACAGCGCCCTGAAGGCCGAGCTATACGACGCAACGATCAAGTCGGGGTTCAGGGCGACAATGTCGGCCTCGTCGGGGTAGGACGAGCTCAGGACCGGAATGCCGGAGTACGCGGCCGCGTACTTGGGCCAGATGGAATCGTCCAGGTAGGCGGTGCCCACCATGCTGCCCTCGAGGCCCATGGCGAGCAAGAACTCAGTCGCGCCCTGGTTCATCGTGATGACCCTGGTCGGGGCCGCGCTGACGGTGTTCGTCACGCCGCAGTTCGTGTAGGTGACGGGGTACGCTGCAGCGCTGAGCGGGGCCGCGCCGAGCAGGACGGTGCCAGCGAGGGCGAGCATGACGCCGCGAGGATCGCTGCCTGAAGCAGAAGCGGCTGCGGACTGCTGCGGGGGTCGCGGAGCAGGTCGCAAGCCGTCGGCCAACACAAGCTGCCTTGAACCAAAATGGCTGCGGAGGAAAGGGAACATGAGATCCTGGCGTCGAATCTCTTCCGCCACCGGCAAATGCGCCCTGTGCCTTGTTTCGGGCCCTCACGGATCAATCCAGTTCGAATTTGTCTTCGTGAGTGGGTTACAATCATCGCGCTAACTCCGTGAAAGCCCGAACGAATGAGGGCGCGAGGGGGCCGAGCCGAAACGAAGGGCAGACCAAAGGACCCAGAGCGAAGCGAGCGAAGAGGCCCGACCGAGCAACCAGGACCGAGCACCCAGGCGACGGGCCCGTCCAGCTCGCCAAACGGCGCAGAAAGCTGCGGTCCAGGGCTCTGGTCGAATTTGCTACGAGGTTGCAAGTGTGTCCCGACGTCGGATCTAGAGGCCTCCCAGATGGTGTCCGAGTAGATGGGGTCGAAGGATCGCACCGCACTGCCAATGCATCGGCGATGCATCGGCGATGCATCGGCGCTGCATTGGCGACATCGGCGATGCATCGGCAATGTCGACGTGATGCAAATCGGGCTCCACGTCGAGCCGCATCGTCGATGCATCGGCGATGCGGCGCGATCCTCCGATCCCATCTACTCGGACCCCATCTAGGAGGGCTGAGGGATCTCAATGAGGTCGGGAGCCCCTCGGCCGGATGACCTGTGCTTTGTTATTTGTGGCAGCGGTCGTTACACTGAAAGGAGAGGGTGTGGCCTCCGGCAACTCAGCGCAGGAAGAAGTACCCACATCGATGCGTTTCCGTCACTTCCCCCTTTTGGGGGCCTCCTGGGAGGCCCTCGTCGCCACCGCGGGATTCGCCTCGAAATCCTTGTCAGAACGCACTCCGGGGAGGTCCAGAGGGTAGCGGTGTTCGTACCTTTGGGTTTCCCACGTAACGGTGACGCTTGGGCGGGGTGGGGCACGTCGGGGCGGGGTTGCGCTGCGATCGCCACAGCACGCGCGCGCGAGCACCAACATGTGGGGGTGCCAACCCCCCCCTACGTACGAGCGTTACCGTTGTACCGGGGGGAGCGGCTTCGCGCGTTTGACGACCATTACGCGCAAGAGGAAACATATCAGCCATCGGGGCCTCCAAATAGATCAAGAAACTAAACTGAAGTGCACTGGAGTGGAGTGAAGTAGGCTGGACTGGCCTAAACTGGACTGGACTGGTGTGGACTCTGCTCCGCCCGACTCAACCGTATCTGCTCTACCGTATACACTACCCTAGTCTACTCTGCGCTACTCTACCCAACTCTACTCTGCCCGACCCTACCCGAATCTGGTATACTCTACCCTACTTTAGTCTACTTCGACTCTACTCCACTCTACCCCCATTCTGATCAATTGTACTAAGTATGATTGCAGGGCGCGTCCCTGAGATGAATATCCCATTGAGCCTGTCAATCATAGGGATGCGGATGGATTCGAAGCTGCTGCCATGGGGCTCTAGCGCCAACACTCGATGGTTTATGTTCATGTCATGTATTGTTCCTCGATGGTGAACTTCGTCTCGGTCGTTGTCGCAGTCGTCGGAGTTGTCATGGTTCTCGGAGTGTTGGTCGTGCTCGTCGTGGTCATCGTCGCTGTGGCTGTTATCGTCATAGTATTCGTCGTTGTCGCCGAACTCGTCGACATGACCGTCGTCTTGTCTGTCGCCGTCGTGGTCGTAGTCGTACTGGTTGTGGTCGTAGGTGTCGTGGTCATCGTCGTAATCCTGGTCGCCGCACTCGTCTGCGTCGCGTTCGTGGTCAGTCGTTAGTCGTCGTCCGTCGTTGTCGTCTGTCGTTGTCCGTTGTCCATCGAGGTCGTCGTCTTAGTCGCCGTTGTCGTGGCCATCGGCATACTTGCGGTGGTCGTCGTCGTCGGCGGTATATTCGTCGTTGCGTTCGTCGACCGTCGCCGGCCATCGTCCGCCGTCCCTCTGTCGCCGTCGCAGCCGTCGTGGTCGCTGTCGTGGTCGCCGTGGTCGTCGTCGTGGACGTCGCGGTCGTCCAACCTGTCGTGGCTGCCGTCGTTGCCGCTGTATTCGTCGAGGTTGTCGTGGTCGCCCCCGCCGCGGCCGCCGCCGCCGCCACCGCCGCCGACCGCCGCAGCGCTGGCCCGCGGGGCCTGCCCCTCCAAAGGCGGGCGGCCGCCGGGCGTGTGGCGACCTCGACGGCGCGGCCTCGGCGGGGCGCGCGAGCCGCCGAGGCGCGTTCGCCGCGGCCGCCGCCGCCGCCGCGAGGCCGCCGCCGCCCACCTCCGCCCTCTCCCTCCGCCTCGCCGCGCCCATGCCGCCTCGCCTTCTGCCTCCACCCCCGTTCTGTACATAAGCCATGCTGGGCCGGCGTGGGCCCAAAAACAGCGTCGTCCAGCATGCCACGTGCTGCAGTCCATGTGGTGCGCCGACAGACGTCTGAAGAGATCCGCTGGCCCAGTTGTGGGGCCACCAGGCTGCAGGCCAGAGGTTCGCAGTTTCCTGTGCCAGTTGCAGCTTCCAGTTTTCACTTTTACAGTTCTGCTTCTTGCTGCTTACTGTTCCTTGTTACACTTCTGCTTCTTGCTGCTCACTGTTCCTTGTTGATGGACCGCGCGAGAGGGGGGGCCCAAAACAGGCATTTCTACCACGCCCAAATCATATTGTCTGAATTGCTGGGGTGGGTAAAAATTTACACCCCTCACGCAGATCGGCGGGGCCAGGGTCCAAAAACACATGGGATTTGCCACATTTCTGAAATCCGGTGGCACCCCTCACGCAGATCGGCGGGGTCAGGGTCGAAAAACACTAGGGATTTGCCACATTTCTGAAATTCGGTGGCGCCCCTCACGCAGATCGGCGGGGTCAGGGTCCAAAAACACTAGGGATTTGCTACATTTCTGAAATTTGGCCCCTCAGGCAGATCGGCGGGGTCAGGATTCAAAAACACAATGGATTTGCCACGTATCTGAAATTCGGCGGCACCCCTCACGCAGATCGGCGGGGTCAGGGTTTAAAAACATATAGGATTTGCCACGTATCTGAAATTCGGCGACACCCCTCACGCAGATCGGCTGGGTCAGGGTCCAAAAACACAAGGGATTTGCAACATTTCTGAAATTCGGCGGCACCCCTCACGCAGATCGGCGAAGTCAGGGTCCAAAAACACTCTGGATTTGCCATACTTCTGAAATCCGGTGGCACCCCTCACGCAGATCGGCGGGGTCAGGGTCCAAAAACACCAGGGATTTGCCACATTTCTGAAATCCGGTGGCACCCCTCACGCAGATCGGCGGGGTCAGGATCCAAAAACACTCGGGATTTGCCACGTTTCTGAAATTCGGTGGCACCCCTCACGCAGATCGGCCTGGTCAGGGTCCAAAAACATAAGAGATTTGCAACATTTCTGAAATTCGGCGACACCCCTCACGCAGATCGGCGGGGTCAGGATTCAAAAACACACTGGATTTGCCATACTTCTGAAATCCGGTGGCACCCCTCACGCAGATCGGCCTGGTCAGGGTCCAAAAACATATAGGATTTGCCACGTATCTGAAATTCGGCGACACCCCTCACGCAGATCGGCGGGGTCAGGGTCCAAAAACACCAGGGATTTGCAACATTTCTGAACTTCGGCGGCACCCCTCACGCAGATCGGCGAAGTCAGGGTCCAAAAACACACTGGATTTGCCATACTTCTGAAATCCGGTGGCACCCCTCACGCAGATCGGCGGAGACAGGGTCAAAAAACATATAGGATTTGCCACATATCTGAAATTCGGCGACACCCCTCACGCAGATCGGCGGGGTCAGGGTCCAAAAACACTAGGGATTTGCAACAGTTCTGAAATTCTGCGGCACTCCTCACGCAGATCGGCGAAGTCAGGGTCCAAAAACACACTGGATTTGCCATACTTCTGAAATCCGGTGGCACCCCTCACGCAGATCGGCGGGGTCAGGGTCAACAAACATATAGGATTTGCCACATATCTGAAATTCGGCGGCACCCCTCACGCAGATCCGTAGGGTCAGGGTCGAAAGACCAACAGGTCCCGACACTGCTTCACGGCGAAGCCAAAGCCACATGACTTCGCTCTTCCATGGCCCATTCTCCGAGAGAAGGGGCCGGCGGCAGGGGGCGAAGCCCTTACGGATTGTTCATAGTACGATGTGTCATCTATGAAGAGCAATTGATGTGGTCAAATACATATGGCGGGAGCTTCGTGGTACAATATATGTGGTGTAAGCTAGGTGGTGAAATTCATGTTGTGCAATAGCTATACTGCAGTCTGAATGGCGCAATACATATATATATATATATATACATATATATATATACATATATACATCCATACATTTACACAATCTCCCCAGCGGCTCAGTAGAGCTCTTGCAATATGTCAGACCGCACTCGGCGCCGCATCGCGATCGTATCCACTTTGTGCGTGCGCTTGCCGAGGTGTGTGCGCAAGTGAGACCAACACCTATCTATGAGCTGGGTTCCTGACTTCACGTGCGCCGTCTCGCCGCTGGGGAGCTTGCGGCTCACCATCCACCGGCCTAGTTCTAGTCGGCTTCGGAAAACACTGCGCGATCTCGCAGGCCGCCGCGCATGGGATCTTGACCGTGCGATCGAACCCCATCTGCTCTGCAAAGCTCATCGGCTCCCCAACCATTGCCTCCGGGGCCGGCTCGCCAACGACTGCCTCTGGGGCCGCCATCGCGGCGGATGGAGTGGTAGCTCTGAAAATGCAGAGCGGTAGGCCCCAGGTGAAATCGGACAACCCCCTCCGACATTGCTTGAGACACAAGATGATGATGATGATCACGATGATGAGAAGAACAATGACTAATCTTACCGACGCCAAGATAAGCTAAGATGTGCATCCCTGTGCCTGATGAGAGTGCCCCACCACGGCCGTGAACCTGCGCTGGCAAGGGCCGCGAGGGGTAAAGACGCAAAATCAAAAATCCAGCATCAAGTTATGAGACCTGTTTGTCTCCCTGGGGGCCGAAGCCAAGAGACACTAAGATGTGCATCCCTGTGCCTAAAGACTGTGGCTCACCGCGGCCGTGAACCCGCGCCAGCAAGGGCCGCGAGGGGTAAGGACACAAATTCACAAATCCAACATAAAGTTATCAGACCTTTTGTCTCTTTGGGGGACTAAGCCAAGATAAGCTCAGATGCCCACCCCTGTGCCTAATGAGAGTGGCCCACCACGGCCGTGAACCTGCACCGGTAAGGGCCGCGAGGGGTAAAGAGACAAATTCCCATAAAATTATCAGACCTGTTTGTCTGTTTGGAAACCGAAGCCAAGATTAGATATGCTGTGTATTTCTGTGCCTACCGAATGCAGCCCGCCGCGGCCGTGAACCTGCGCCGGCGAGGGCCGCGAGGGGTAAAGAGGCAAGTTCAAGAATCCAACATATAATTACCAGACCTTCTTGTCTCCTTGGGGACCGAAGCCGTGGTGGACTAAGATGCGCATCGCTGAGCCTAAGGAACGCGGCCCACCACTGCCGCGACGCTCCTGGCCTAAGGGAAGCAGAGTGAGAGAGAGAGAGAGAAAGAGAAAAAGAACGAGAGAGAGAGAGAGAGAAAAACAACAAAAAAATATAGATATATAGAGAGAGAATATGACCTCAGGATCATCAGTTCCTCCTCTGCGCGTTCAAAAAGCCACACTGTTCCACGAGCAAGCTCTCAACTGTTCTACACAGAAGGCGCGGGACACACTATACCAGCGCAGCAGGAAATGTCACCTTCCTTGCGACGCGCCGCCAGGGCCGCGTCGAGCAAGCTCAACGCCCGCGGCGGGGCGCGCGCCCGCTTGCGGTTTTCGGCAGTCTTTCGGCGGTCTTCAGAGGCCAAGATGCGTGCCTAAAAGCTGCCGCGCCCAGGGGGGCCGTCACGTCCGTGGGCCGCTGCCTGCTATCCTCTGCAGTTCGTGCTGGACACGGGATGGGCGCCGAGGTCGCCGACTGCTCGGGCCCCCCGACGACCGACGTTCTGGGAATTTTTCCAGACGAGGAGTTCACGAGCATCGAGGCCATCGACGATGCCAGCTTCAAGGATTTCTGCACTGATCTCAAGTCGGCTGCGATGGCCCCTTTTCTGGGCGAACGCGTGCAAACAGTTCGATGTTCGGCACAAGGCACGAGCCGTTGTTCAGACCGAAGACTGATCAAGCAACTGCAATCGACTCTAGGGGAAAGTCGTCCACTGGCAGAATTGGCGCTCAATCTGTCAACCGGTGGAGCTTGGACTGAGGCTCGGAAGTGCGAGCAATCGAAAGTGCCAATTGGGTTGATTCAGAATTCCGCAATGAATGATGTTTGAAACAGATGCGGTGATGAGACGGAGTCGCCGCAACACCGGTACTGACTTTGCCGTCGTTGCAGTACTGGCAATGCGGATTATCAGCGGAGTGACGAGCTGGTCCCACAGGCATGCAGTCAAAGTGATGCGTACCCATGCTACTGGTATTGGGGACCCATCCAATCGGAATGTGCGTCTCCACCGCCACTTCAGTTTGCGGACGATTGGTTACGATGGTCTTCCCACAGGAGTTGTCCAGTCCCACCGGACACTGGCAACTCTAACAGTCCCACCAGAGTTTTGGGAGATGCGAGCCAAGGCCAAGACACGAATAACCGCAGACTGCGTCCAGTTGCCATGAGAATTGAAAAGGTCAGCAACTTCCATGACATGAAGGTAGACTGTGCGATAGCTTGAGGTCTAGAGGGCTCAAAACAAGTTGTGGCTCGCGATGAAATGACAATTTTCTGGTTGTGCGTGCTTACGTGCATTGGGAACACTCAATGCATCACAAACTCCGGGAATGCACGTTCTGGCTGGGAGAGACGGCAATATGTTCGACCATCAGGAGATCATGCAAACATGTGGGCGATCATAGGACAGGCGTCTTTTTTGTAGAAAATTGTACAAACAAAGTCAACAACTGGTCGATGCAATCCTTGTTAACTCGCATCAGGGACCTGAAGATATGCTGGCATGTATGTTACCATCTAGGCATATATTGGGCATTGCAGGGGTTGGCGAGAGTGTGAGCAAAACGGCTCAAGGAAGTGCGTCTTGCACCAGATGTTCGGTTTCGGACTCTTCATGTCGAGCGTGATGCATCCGCCACCGTGCCTCTGGCACGAAGGAGTTCCCCAAGGTCACAGCGGTGCTGCCTGCTGCACCCAGGATGTAATTTCTTTGAAAGGCCCGGACTACCAATTTCCTGGGCGCGCCTGGGCGCTCTCAGGCGCGCCCAATGTGTTCCGCATAGGCCTCCAGGGCGGTTGCAACGACCCGGAGAACTTCGCGGAGCCTCCCACCAAGCGCCCAAGACGGTCATGCAGCGCATCTGGATGGCCCGAGAGGTCTCCAAGACGCTCCAAGAGGCCCCAAAGAGGTACCCAATAATAACAAATTGTCCATTCCCCTAAGGAAAAACGTATATGTGTAGCATCGTCGCATCTTGGGCTTTCACAGCGTACACGACGGCCCCAGAGGCTTCCAAAATCGCCCCAAGACGGCCCAAAGGGCCCCCAAGAAGGATCCAAGACCATTCAAAAAGGGCCCCAAGACCGCCCAAACGCCCCCAAGACGGCCCCAGGACGGCCCCACGAGGAGGCCCACAGGGGGAACCCGCACGGACATTTCGCGCCCTCGGCTCCGAGACGCCCTCTGGTGGCCCCAAGGAGCCCCCGAGAGGCGCCCGAGAGACCCAGAGAGGGCCCGAGAGGCCCCCAAGAGGCCCAATCACTGCTTTCGAACTTGGCCCCGAGAGCGATCCGAAGAGACCCCAAAAAGCACCCCGAGGACTCTGACCCACAAGCCAGGCACGGTGGCGGGATCGTCCGAAGGCCGTTGGTTCTCTTGTGCGGCAGCGGCTCCTGCATGTAGCTCTTGACAGGTGTTCGTTCGGGCGCACGGCCCACGGGCGCAGTGACAAGGCAAGCGTGCTGATTCCTCCCCATATCCCTCCTCCGCCTACACCGTGCGTTGTAGCTAGCTTTTCGGTGTCCCACGTGCTGGAAGAATGTGGCCAACACTGTTCCAGGTGCTGCGGACAGCGACCCTGGCGACCTTGGGCCTATTGAAGGCCAACCCGTGCTTTCACAATGTAAACATGAAGGGATCGTCTCACACCCTTCGGGGCTAGCGATCGTATCCACACGGGTGGGGGGGGTGCTGGGATCATAAGAGTCATAACGTAATCCTGTGGTATTCATTTATGTGGCAACTGCGGTTGTATTGCCACTAAGCGATCCTGTAATCAACCTGAAGAATGCGAGTTTGAATCCACACCAAAGGCAACCAAACATGTAAGGAGGATGCGACTAAGACTCTGGCACAACGTGCTCAGCAGATCAAGACAAGGTGCCCGAAAGGGGGCTGCTCGGAGCTCCCCCTTCCCAAGTGTAAGACAGGTTCATGATCATCCCCCTTTTCCACCTATGTTTCCTGTTGCTGTCTCTCATCATTCACACTCTTCTCATCCTCCCCCACCTCTCCCTCATCACCACCGTCAACACCACCACCATCACCATCATCACTATCACAGCCACCACCATAATCATCATGATCAGAATCACCCTCCTCGTGTTCCTCCTCCTCCCCCTCCGCCTCCTCCTCCTCTTCCTCTTGCTGTCGCTGCCACCGTCGCCGTTGCCGCCGTCATCGTCGCCGCCACCGCCGCCGCCTCGTTGTCGTTGTCGACTGTGGCGTCGTCGTGCCGCCGCGCCGCTGCCCTACGGGCGCGGGCGCGCGCGCGCTGGGAGGGGCCTGAACAGCCTTCTCCTCTTTCCCCGAACGCGTCGGGCATGTTGTGATGGTTCATACTAGAAGCTATACGCCAGCGAAAACCCTGTTGGCTTGGAAATCCAATCGGCCGCCACTACAGCTTAACTGTACTCTTCAGACAAACCTGGCGAGTTCTCCAGGCCACGGTTCCTAGTTTAGCTTCCTGGACAGTGCAGGACGCTGCGCGCGCGTGCGCGCGGATGGCCATGGACACCGCGTCGCTGATTTGTCTCGCCGCCATGAATGGCACATGCGTGGTGACATACGACCTGGCGCCCGTAGGTACCTGTATATTTTTTTTGAAATATGACACATGGCCGCATAAACGCACAGGCGCGCCGGCGTCTGAAGCCAGGTAGGTAGATGAACGAGAGCAGCAGCTGGAACGCGAATGAACGGCAGAGCGACGGCGATCGGGCGGGCATAGATGGAAGCCACCGATCTTCAACCGAGGGTGGGTCCGGGCAGAGAAATGGACAGAGGATGCACGGACGCATCGATGCGACGGCAACGACGGGGGTACATGTAGACAGATGGGCAGACCACAACCGCCAAGCGAAGTCGACGGTGATAGGGTGAATGCTGCTTGAATTTGGACCCGAATGCAATTCTTGACTGGATACATCTTTCATACCAAGCATTACACCAGAGAAGAGCCCCCGATCAGTTGATGGTTTGAACAATAGCGAAATGGATATTGAGGTCGATTGTGGAATCGAGAGTGGAATCGATAATTGGAACGATTGTATGGTCGATCGTGCGACCGATAGTGCAGTCGATCCAGTGAGATCGTTAGTAAAATCGATCGTGAGATTGTTCACGCGATATATAACCGCACGCGCGAGATAATAATACCCCAGGTAGTAAAACTCGGGTGTGTGGCGGGAATAATCAACGACTTTCCCGGGGAAGGTGATGTTAGTTATATGTTAGGATGATGATGACGATGATCATGATGATGGTGATCCTGGGCGTTTCGGAGACTCGGAGAAGCTCGAGCCTGGGCAGTTGCGGGGATAAAGGCGGAGGCGGAGGAAGAAGAGGAGGAGGAGGAGGAAAGGCCGCGAACCGTGTGAAGGATGCGCTAAAAAACAACTAACGGCAATGCTCTGCCTGCTCGAAAAACGCATGTAACATCAAAATCCAATCGGTCACGATGGCCCTGCCACACGTTCCTGACTCGGGAACGGTGAAAAAGTGAGAATCCCATGGCCCTGCCGCAAGTTCGTGCCTTCGGCAAACTGAACTGGTGAGAGCCCCACAGCCCTGCCACGCGCTCGTGATTGCGGAAGCTGATATGGTGAGACCACCATGGCCATGCTCAGCGTTTTTGATGCTGATGCTAGTCAACATGAGATGATAGCAACTTCGATTCGCAATTTCCCCCGTGGATTATCAAATTCGGCCTCCGCGCCCCTCTCCACAATTAAATCTCATTGAACAGGGAGAGTTAAAAAGAGGGGGTGAAGGGGGTGTGTGATTCATTATTCGCGGCGCTCGTTTAGTGAGATCGATTGTGAGATCGATTTTGAGATCAATAACGAGATCGGAACAAAAAAGAAATATGAAATCGATTGTGAGACCGATCGGTAAGAAAATCGACCAACAATCTGGGAACCCGGAAACCCCGCCGCCCACCGAAATCGGCCCAGGACACGGAACAGGGAACCCGGGAAGCCCGAACTGGGAACTCGGGAACCTGGCCACCCAGCGAAATCGGCCCGGAATGTTCGCCAAATCTTTGAATATCCGCTCGGACCCCTTCAGTGCAAGCACTGATTGGGGAATAAGCGAACGATGAAGGCGCAAGAAAAAAGGAAGGACAAATAATGGCGGAAAAGCAGAGAAACCCGCGAAAACGTAGAGAAACGCGCAACGGTAAGGATTCCCTCCTCCTCCTCCTCCTCCTCCAACTTCTCCTCCACCTCCCCCTCGCAGGCCTTCGCCGGCACGGTCGGCCACACCGACAGGGCCTTGGGGAGCGCGCCCTGCGACTTCGAGTGCTGGAGCGGATGGGGCTCGTGGGCCTGGCGGGGGACGAGATGGGGGGAGGCAGGGAGCAGGATGACAACGAGAACGACGACGGGGGAGAATCACGAGGAGGAGAGAAGGAGAAGGAGGAGGAAGACGAGGAGGAGCACGAAGACAATGAAGGGGGCAGTCGGGAGGAGGAATAAAGGAGAGGAGTAGATTGAACAGAAGTGGAGTGGAATGGAGCAGAGTTGCCTGGGAGTTGCTTGGCCGCCAAGAGTCCACGTGGCCTAGGCAACTACCCGAAAGCACCAGGAGCGGACAGACGTCCATCAACATGTCTGGCCCTGCTGGCGGTGGCATCCCAAACGCGGGCCGCTGGGCCATTGAGGCCTGGCAAGGACCCTTCCCTGATGCGGGCCAAATATCGGGGTGCCAATTCTTTGTGAGGAACCGGCTGCGTTCATGACTCAACTGCCTGGGGTCGACCGTCGTAGACTGCCCGCACACCAAACAGAAGTGAAGCGAGAATTTGGTCAGCGAAGCAGGCAGTGACTCGAATGACGCTCCAGCTCCCCCACAACCACCACCGCACTAGCACGCACAACCCCCTGACAGAAGGGCATTGCATGCGACTGCTTGAACTGAGCAGGGCAACTGGCACGCCTCTCTAACCTGGCCAGCAGAGAAAATAGCGTCACACAGAAAAGATCAATGTGTTGCCCGCCCTGCGTTAAGTAAGAGGTGCGGGGTGCCTCAGAGGGCGTCCAGAAATTGCGTGGCCAAAGAATCCAAGGAGCAACGCGGATGACCAGGCAGGTCTTTATGTCTTCGCCAGCGTGCCCGTTTTGGGCAGATGCAGGTGAAACAAGAGCAAGTGGCTGTCGAAGAACTTTTCGTCCTCGGCAAGCCATCGGGAGGACCTTTATCAGCGCTGCTCGCTGTTGCAAGGCTTATTCAAACGCTTGTAACGCGGGCATATGCGCATGCGGCGGAGGGTAGCAGAGAAGGGAGCATGAGAAGGAGGAGGAGAGAGGCGAGAAACATGAATGTGGGATGCCGGCCGATACGGATAGACCGTCCGTGTGCTGCGACCTTGGGGTATCTGCGAGGAACTCCTGGGCATAGCTGCGTCGCTGTGTTCGTCGTGCGCTCGATCCTGCCTTCGATGGAAATCATCGGCAAGGTCTCCATCCGCGTCACGCTCCCCGCTCCAAGGTGCTGGTCAGCCTAGGCACCGGACACATTCCGGCTCCACAACGCAAGTTATCTGCAGGATCGGTCTCGAAGGTGACGGCACTATGAAGCTGCCCGATGGTCGTAGGCAACGTGTGCTGAACACCCACCCTCTGGCAGAGACGACTGAACTCCTGCAGCTTGCACGATCGGTTGGTCGCTTGCCTGCCTGCCTGGTCGACTACTCCAGCGAGTTCGGCCGTGTGCCAACCACTCAAGCAAAAAGACGCGTGTCCAATCGATGTCGCGTGGACATGGGATGCCTCCCACAATGGAGCTTGAACAGCGAGTCCGTCTCCTCGACATCGTTGCACAAGAGCTGCTCCCGCTGCTGTCGTTGTCTTCTCCCATGCCAGAAGCAACTGCCAAAGACAGCCTCCAAAAGAAGCAGCACCAGCCAAAGCCCAGGAAGGACACCTGTCATGTCCCACCTGGCCGCGCTCGTATCGTCAGAAGCAGCCTCCCGCCTCCGACGTTGAACACAGGATCCGTCTCCTCGCCGTCCTTGCACGAGTGCTGCTCCCGCTGCCGTCGTGGCCTTCTCAGGCGCCAGAGGCAACCGCAGAGAATCGGGGGCGGCCAAGAGGGGGGCGTCCAAGAGGGGGGGGTGCAAATCATGACCGGCGGCATGTGCGCGGCCCAGCGGGGGGGACCAGGGACGTAATGAAATAAGAAGCGGCGCCATGAAACCTGTGGAAACATCATGGCCCCCACCATGCTATCCACCCACCCCGCACAGTCACCACCCCCCTCCCGGCCGCCCCCGAAGAGACCAGCCGCCAAGAAGGCGGCACCAGCCACAGCCCCGGGAAGGCCCCAAGGCCCAAGACCCGGCTCCGACCCGACCCGCTCCCTCCACGGCAGGCCACGGCCCTTCGGGGCCGGGCCACCTGGAAGAGGCCCCCTCCGCCTCTCCAGGAGCAAGGGGCCCAAGGACACATACGTAAATACACACAAATAACGAGATTCCCCATATTTTCCCATACTTTCTGGGTTTCTGCCTTACCCCCCAGCTCCAATAGTTTCCCATCTCTTCCTGGGCATCGACGATGACTTGTGTCCGTGTGTTTTTTCCCCCTCCTGATCCACGGCAGGCCACGGCCCTCCGGGGCCGGGCCACTCGGAAGAGGCCCCCTCCGCCTCTCCGGGAGGCCTTCCCCTCTCGCCCCTGCCCCTCGCCATCGCTCGGACGTCCATTCCCTGTGTTGTTTTTGGTTTCGTGCGTGGCTTTTTCGCCAAATGGTCAAGGATGCTCCTCGATGATCCTCGCCGAAGGAAAAATGCACACGTCCGAGCGATGCCAGGGCCCTGCGCGTCGGGTGTGGGGCTGGGCGTGGTGCTGGCTGGTGCTGTTGCTGGAGCGGGCGCCGGCGTGGGCTGAATGCGCGTTGACGTCTGCGAAGATCCACCACCGTCAGCACGACGGGGAGTGCCCCCAGGCTTCTCGAATCTGACGTGTTGAAGGTCGGGTGTTGCCAGAAGTGCCCCTGGCTCAAGGGTCCCCCAGGATTTCCAAGGAGGCTCTCACGGCCTCCAGAGCACCCCTCACGAGGCCCAGAGGGCCCCAGGGGCTTCAAAATCAAGCGAAAAGCTGGGGGCACCTTGGGCCAGGGGCACCTTTAACAACCCCTGAGAAAGGATTGGCAAACTCTCAACGGCCCGGAACCCCTTTCATCCCGGTCTTGGACGCTCCTGGGCGTTCTCCGGAACTCCTAATGTCTCGCGTGATGGGACACGTCGCCGGCCTGAAACTTCCCCTGGGAACCCCACGAGTGTCCCCACAAGCGCCCCAGAGGTCTGAGAGAGCCATGGCCATGGTGCAAGACCGCCCCAAGACGCCCACGATAGCCCCACGACGGCCCAAGAGGCCCCAAAGAAGCTTTCAGACGGCTCACGAGGGCTCCAAGAAACCCGCCGAGGGAGCCACAAGAAGAAAACCATGATTATCCTGGCGAGGGGCCCAAGCATGTGCAGGAGCGAGTGCCGCGAGACAGATGGAAACTAAGAAAAGGGGATAGCAAAAAGACGAAAACGTGCGTGGGAAAGGCGGAGGGACATTGCTGAGGGGGTCGCAGAATTCAGCCGTGACGAGCCACATCTGGATGTAATCCGTTACGAGTGATCTGCGCGTCTGTCGGCGCGGCCCTTTGGGGGCAGCAGGCGGCGGGGTCTTCGGTGGAACCCCCTGTGGGGCCACGAATCGTCTGCGGAGTGACCCGGGATGGGAGCGGTCACACATGCGCGTCCTGCCACTGAGGCCGTCGGTGGAGCTCCTTATGGGGCCACGAACCACGTCAGGAGTGCGCCAAAATGGGCGTGCTCACTCATGCGAGTTCTACCCCTGGAGCCTCATGTTGAGCACCCTATGGGGCCGCGGACCGTACCAAGGGTGTGCCGAAATGGGCGCTCTCACGCATACGAGTCCTGCCGCTTGGGCCTTCGGTAGGACCACGAAACGTGTGAGGGCTGCGTCGAAATAATGGAAAATGCGTGCGAACGTAACTAGTCACTGTGGCCTTCGGTGGAGCTCCCCATGGGGCCACGAAGCGTGTGAGGATTGCGCCGGAATTGTGTGGAGAAGGCGTGCGAACGCAGCCACTTGGGCTCTCGGTGGACCTTTTTACTGCGCTACGAAGGCTGTGAGGGGTACGCCTGAATGTAGACCAGGCATGCGAATGCAGCCACTAGGGCCTTCGGTGGAGCTCCCGACAAGGCCACGAAAAGGGCGAGGCGAAAGCTGACATGAAAGGCGGCTGGGGCTCCCTATGAGGCCGCGAGACGTGTGAGGCGTGTGCTGGAATGTAAGGCGGGACCTCATGTGAACTGTAATCATTTGCGCCTCAATTGGGGCTACCTACGGGGCCCCGAAACGCGCGAGGGTAGTGCCGACATGAAACGCGGGAGAGCATGCGAACTTTGGCACTGGGGGCCTCAACTGGGGCTGACCGTCGGGATACAAAACGTGCGAGAGGGGTGCCAAAACCAAAGGTAGGAACTCATGCGAACCGTGGGATCTGAGCCTCAGTCAGGGTTCCTGTGGGGCCACGACGCGTGTGAGGGGCGTGCTGGGATGAGTGGCGGGTACGTGCCCACGTGGAGTTTGGTAGTTGGGCCTCGGTTGGAGCAACCTATGGGGCCGCGAGGGGCGCGGGCGGGGCGCCAAATTGAAAGGCGGGGCCTCGTGTGAGCGCTGGCATCTGGGTCGCTGTCGGGGCTCCTGCGGGGCGTGCGAGGCGTGTGCGAGGCGTGTGCCGAACGGGCGAGCGCGGGAGCTCATGCGAACTGTGGCGTATGGGCCTCAGATTGGGTTCATGATGGAGCCACGAAGCGTGAGGAGCGTGCCGAAATGAGGGGCGGGAGCTCACGTGAACTCTGCCAGCCGGGCCGTCGCTGGGGCCACCCATGGGGGCACGAAGCGTGCGAGGCGCGTGCCGAAATGAGAGGCAGAAGAGATGTGGAAACCCATGTGGGCTTTTACATCTGGGTCTTACGTGGGGCCCTTCTGGGGCTACAGCCAAAACGTAGATTAAGGACGCGTGGTAAGGACGCAAGACCCTTGGAGGCTGAAGTTGGGATTTTTTGGGCGGCGGCGACCAGTGAAAACGGCAAAGGACGGGCCACAGAGGCAAGGACACAAGGGTACCCTAGATGAAGGCGCGCGTCCTTACTATGCGCGGTGACTATACGAAACGTGCGAGGCTTGTGCCAACATACAGATCGGACACCCATGTGAACTTTGGCAAGACGACCGTTGTTGGGGCTCCCCATCGGGATACGAAGCGTGCGAGGCGTGCGCCAGAATGAAAGGCGGGCACCCATG